CATTTATTGCAGCACCAAAGTTTGAGGGGCAAATGCATAAAGCGACAGCCATAAGTGATCTTTAGTAAAAGGTGGATGGTTTATACAATTTGAAGAGAAACTACAGCATTACCTATGGATTAGACCAATAAATTAAAGTATTATTGCTATAACTGCCTGAGTGGGCAGATTATTTTAATATCTTTATGTGCCTCACTTAACTAACAATCCTTTTCTTTGAATTACTCTGCATTGAATATACAGTAGCTATTATCTTTATCAACTTATTTGATGAAGCCAGTTTGAATTCCCTGATTAGGCCAGAATGCTTTTCTTATTCTTTCTGTTGGAAAGATATTCAACTTCATTAAAAACAACTACTACTTCTATGTGTAATAGTTGAGTGTAAAATAAATCCTATGAAACCCAATCAGTTCAAAAGACTGAACTGGAAGCATATCTATCTCTGCTGCCACCTGGTGGCAAGGAAGAGGAAAAAGCTAATTTTTAATTTAATTTAATTTTTAAAAAGTGAAGTCTTCTGCAGTCACGACATAAGCCTAAGACTGAAAATCAGGCTTGTCAGATGCTGTATTTTTTCTATCCTGCTCTATGGAGTAGAGAGTTGGTCTCTGACAGAAGGCCACCTGAAGAGACTAGAAGCATTTGAAATGTGGATTTACAGGCGGCTGTTACGTATAAGCTGGGTTGACAAGATCAAAAATGAGGAGGTGATAAGCCGCCTGGGAAAGCCAAGGGAAATCATCAAAACAATCAAAAACCGAAAATTATAATATTTCGGACATGTGATGCGACACCCAGAAAAATACAACATACTCCATTTAATCCTCCAGGGAAAGATTGAAGGCAAATGAGGTCCAGGCAGAAAAAGAATATTGTGGCTTCAAAATCTAAGGGACTGGTTTGGACAAAACTCAGCAGCACTTTTTTGTGCGGCTGCTGATAAAAACAGGATCACCAACATGATCGCCAACGTCCAATAATGGATATGGCACAAGAAGAAGAAGAAGTAAATAGGCCTGGGATGACACCTAAGGAATTAGGGGGGTTTAAAGGGATGATAGAACAGATTGAAGACTATCCTTTAGTCAAAAAGAAAAGCAGAGAAATGGGCAATGCCTATTTAAGTAGATCAATGGACAGTTTTGGGAAGCTTTTACCTCACCTGTTTCTGGATGCAGCAAGTTGTTCAGCTTTTAAAATATGACCCCAGGAACAAATGCTTTCAGATTCTTTCATTAGAATGGGAGCGATTACTCAGTTGTTCAAATTACTATTTTTTTTTCAGTATTTCTGAAGTAAGATCTGCCTTTTATTCACAAAAGAAGCCCAGCTTTCTTCATGGTTAAGGAAACCTGCATTTTGGTTTTTTTATGGGTAAAGATGTCTATGCCTCTTTAGAAGTGTTCCAAAGTTATGGATGTATATATGTATGCAAAAATAGGGGTGTTATATTTGATCAGAAAAACATCAAGACTTAACTAGATCACTAATTAAGTCCCGAACTGTGGCTCCCTGACCAAAAATATCTCTGTATTGAAAAGCTGTATTAAAAACAGGAGACCCAGATCAAAACAGAGCTTTCATTCTGTTGTTCAGTAGTTGGATAAAAATGTCAAATCCAGTCTAATCATCTGGCTGATTGTGCAACCAACCATCATTTTAAAAAAAAGCCAGACAAGATTGAAAAGTGAGGCAACAAAAGGGAGAAATACTCCTAGAAAAATAATGAAGGTGATTATGAAGGCTGTGATCTTCATCAAGTGTACAGCTTCTGGTTGAAGAGAGTCTTCTGTATCCAGCAAAGGGACTTTCTCTCAGACTATCCCTCAACATAGCAGCAGATGATGGCACATGAGCATGCTCTGAGCTCAAGTCTTATTGTTAGTTTATTGCCTCACCACTCAGTACCCGACCTGCATCCTTGCCGTGGCATACCAAAGAATGCATGTGTGTTGTTTCTTTAAAAATATATACAAATACTTGAATTTCTTCTTCAACCAATGATGCAGCAGCAATCTTGGCAGACTTTTTGTCAGCAACAAGAGAAAAGTTTTCATCTTAATGCTTTCAACCAGAGTGCTGGCAATTAGGCAACCTAAGCCTTACTTTCCTTACAAAAGTGGAGAAGCCCATTCACTATTTTGTCTAAGGCAGAAGTGGAATTAAAACGCTTCAATGTCAAAAATGCAATCCGTTGGAAAACAGAAAGTAGCAGGTATGTGATCAGTTTCTTACTTGATTAGATTCCCTTACTTAATTGGAGGGTGCGGATTACAACAACCTCAGAGGTGTACCAACGATTGGAGCATATTTTCTTTGCTATCATCTTTCTGTACTTTCTCACACAAAGTTGCATCTCCTAAATTAACTGCAGAACCCTGAATCCTATACTCGGCTGATTTATAAATCAAAAGCAATGTAGAATGTTTACTTGTAAAATCTAATTGATTTTTCAGTTTCTATTTTAAAATAAAACCTGGAGAATTTCTCAGCTTGTGAAATTTTAGAACAGTGGACAACTTTGTGGCTTGGCGGGGGGGATGATTTTGCGTGCACACTGCTTTCACAAACGCAGTTTTGCACGCACACGCACGCACATGTATTCTTACCCACCACTTCTGTAGCCCAGTTCTGAACGAGCTGCGGCCCAGCACTGGGTTGCAGTCCGAGGATTGGGGAGCCCTGCTTTAGAACACTTAATTAGCTGCCTTGTTTGCAAATTAATGTGTGGAGAGGGGAAAAAATGAGGGAGAAAGTATGAAAACTGGCGGACAGTAATTTCAGCAAGTACATGGATCATGTTTAAATGTAAAAGTAGGCTGTTGCAAGACTAAATTGACACCCCCCCCCCAATGAACCACACAGCTACACTATGTAGGTTGCAAATGAAAGTGTCATATTTTGTCTTTTTAACAGTGCAATTACAAGAAGGTGCATTGTGCTGCCACTGATTTTCTGCATTAGATTAATATAAATCTAAGTTTAATCTTTGCAAATTTCAAACAAAAAGCTCGTTTTGAAAGTATAAACCTTTTTCTTTAAAAAAAACAGATGTGTACTGTTCATTTATAAATGGTAGGATGTGTGATATACTGTACTGAGTCCAAGGAGTCAGGCAGTGAAAAATCCAAGTGAATGTTTTCAGTCGAAAACATAAATATTTTATTAGAAATAGTTTGCCTTGTGGCAGCAAATTTGTTTTTCAAATATTCTGTACATCTTTTCATTTAAGTTATGGGGCTCCTTGATTTCTTGAAGGGATTTTCTGGTGGAAACATGACCAATACTATTTGTTTTACCTCTGCACAACATAGGGAGGAAGCCCTGGGAATCCTCCACAGCTGCAACAGAGAGAAAAAACCCAAACACGTCTAACCACACCTCCCCCCCCAATGGAAGCCTAATGCAAGGCGTAATAGGTACTATATATTTCAGTAGCAGAAAATGAATGTCAAAAAAAAAACCCCTCTGTTGGGAAGGAAAAGCTAAAAACATTCTAATTTAAATTATGCAGGCTGTCTCTAAGTGCTTCAGTCTTTGCAAACTCCCACAATGGAATACTGACTGAAGAGTTGGCATATTCTTTTTAAATTCTTCTCCGAATGTTACGTTCATACTGAACCATCCAGATAATAGCCGTGAGGGAGTTTCGTAGTGGAAGAACAGTTGTTAGTATTCTGAATTGACTCGGATAGAGAGAGGAAAAAAAACCCAAGGCAATGTTTTTGTTAGTGGAACATTTTTACATTCTTTAATGTATTGTTACACAGTCTAAATAAACAATGAAAAATAAATGACACAGAGGAAGGGGGAGGCAGTTTCCTTATTAGCTATGTTTATTATGCCACGGCTTAAGCCGTTCTGTACAGAAAGCACCCAGCTGCTTTAAAGCTACTTGGTTTACACTGGATTGTTTAAAAAAAAAAGTTTTAAAATGAGCTAGACATGGTCCTATGGCAGGGGAGGCAACTGGCAGAGTCATTCCCCCACTATGCTACATAGCACAGAAAAGGAAGCAGTGGTCACCAATGGGAACTGCTTCCACCAGCAATATTTACAGCCAGGAATAACTGGAATGTACAGGGTACAAGGAGGTAGGGTATACAAAGCAAAATAGGTAGCAGATTGCCGGGCCAAAAGTCTTCATGAAAAACCAAGTGTTTTATACTAACTTAGTACCTTTTATGCCAAAGTGAAGCCCTCCCATCTGTGATTGACTCAAGATCCTATAGTACCACAGGGGCAAAAACATTTATGAAAAACATAACATTGGTCAAAGACGGCTCTAGATAAGATTCAGGGGCAGCAAAAGACAGTCAGGTATAAAAATACAGAGTGGCTCAAAATACTCTGGAGACTAGAAGGTCACCAGGACTATTGCTAGCATCAGCAGAAACAACTCGGGAGTTGGAGGGGGGGGGACTGGAAGATGGGGAGTGCAGCAGAATTTAAGATGAATAAATTAACCTGGAATGTGACGAAGTGCCGAGTTTGAGGGTGGGGGCTGCGGGGCTTAGTTCCCAGTGCGACAGAGGCGAGATTGTGATTCGATCCTCTGGACGGCAGTGCCAGTGAGCTAATGCTGCGTACCCAGTACACAAATACCGTGAGCAGAATCCCATCCCAACATGGTGGGAGGGGAGGCGGCTGCTCGGCCCAAGAGACAAAACCATTCCAAGGAAGAGCAAGGGATATAAACTCTCTCCATTCCTTACAGCCCTAGACCCGGAGGAAGAAGAAGAATGGCACGCAACAGGATCTGATACCGAATACATTGTAAAAAATAAAAAAAAAGCTTAGCGTTAAATGCAAGGTTTATACAAAAAGATGTCTTGTAAAAAAAAAAAAAAAAGTTCCCCAAAACCTAGTTGATGAGACAATATGGGAGGGGAAGAAAGGGCCGGCCTGAGGTCCATGGCAGTTTGGGAATGATGAGGCCATCCTTTCCCCTCCTCAATCAGGCTTTTTTTAAAAAACAACGAACAAATTTTTTACACTTTAGTTTTTTCTTATAAAAACACAATTATGGGGAAATGAGAACCCCAAGGCTGGCACAGGCCCCAATGGGGGCCAGAGAGGGACCCAGGCCTCTGGGATGTGTTTCACAGGGAAGCTCCTCACGCGAACACCTGCATTTTAGCAGCGGGCTCTGCTGAAGGAAGCTGAGTGTGACTTGGCCCTAATACAGTTGGGCTGGGTGTGGACTCAGACCAGTCAGACAAGGAGTGAGGTGAGGGACTACTCCACTGCTCCGGGGACTCTGGTGAAGGAGTCAGGTAGGGGTGCTCACTGGGAGGGTGAAGGAAGTGCTTGGGTGTCGCGTCTTGCCCCTGCGTGTAACTGTGCTGTGACGGCGGGGTTGGATAATCCTCTACCCCTGCTGCCTTTAGGTATGGTGGGGGCCCTCCGCGTGGAGGTGCCCCCTGACCCTCTTGGGGTGAGACAGGTTGGTTACTGCGCACAGCGGCTGCTGGCGGAGGCATGGGCTGGGGAGCTTCCTTGGCCTGGGCTGGAGCTGGGTTGGGCAAGCCCTGAGAGCCGTGCCCCATGGCCATGTGGTTAGACAGAAGCAATCCTGGTGGGAAAGCTTGGCCAGACTGGTGCAGGTTGGGATGGGAAGCGGCAGGGTGGACCACCCCTATGATGGGTTGGCACTGGGAAGTGGGAACACGGGCACGCCACTCAAAAGGCATGGCCACAGGGCTCACCATGCCCAGACTAAGCCCCATGCGGCCAGGTGGCACAGAGAGGCGGTTCATGGACAGCAAGGTGCCGTCCCCTAGGTCGCTAAGGCGTGCCAAACTGACGGCAAAGGGTGGGTCCATCATGCCATGGACCATGGGGGTAGAGGGCACTGACATTGAGGCACTGGCGGCGTGAAAGACCCCAGGTGAGGCTGGGTTAGGCACATAGGGAGAGTCCAGTGAGTCGACAGGAGACAGGGTGACAGAGCTCTCCAGGAGAGAGCCTTGACACTCCAAATTGAGCTTCTTGGCACGCGCCTTGGCCTCTTTGCTCTCCCGTGCCAGACTGGCACTGCTTCCTGCTGTCACATTCTTTGTGCTAGGCCGACGGCTCTTCTTGCCCTGCGGAGTGGGCTTCAGGCTAGGTAAGAAGCTATTGGGAGGGCACATGAGAGGGGAGAGAGAGTGACCAGCAGGCAGGGCTCCCTGTGGGCTACGGACAGTGTTGTAGTCATCCAAAAGTCGAACAATATCGTGGTGCAAGCGCTCCTGAGCCACGTCACGTGGCAGTCGATCCATATGGTCAGTGATCTCACGGTTGGCAAAGTGATCCAGTAGAATTTTGGCTGCCTGGTAACTGCCCTCCCGAGCTGCTAGAAACAGCGGTGTTTCCTCCTGTGGCAGAGAAGGCAAATTCATGACCACATTCGACATAAGAGTTTGACATTCTCAGACTACCAGAATTCCCTGCTAAATATGGCCAATAGTTCCTGAAAGCATTGTCGAAATGGCTGATTTAAATTAATACCAGTGAGTGACTGTACAAATCACTTTCTCCTCAATACTCCCATATACATTCAGGACAGCTCACTCTAAAGCAGACATGTCAAACTCGCGACGTCATGTGACATCGCGCAACGTATCAGGACAGTTTTGCCATTGCCGGCAATGGGGTGGGCGCAGCTTCCACGTGACGCATCCGGCCCGTGGGCCGCAGTTTGACACCCTGCTCTAAAGGAAACCCCCAGGAAAACATTTTCAAGCATATCATTTAGGATGCAACAAGTATAAACGACAGTATTATTATTTTTCATCAGCCCAAAATGGAAAAGAGAGGAAAGGGGGTGGGGGGGCCGGCATCAATCCACCTAGTACAAAAGCCTAAGCACGGCTTTCTCACTAGAAAAGATGGGAGCTAACCTTTTCCTGTTAGTTCCATTTTTGGTGACTGTTGTGACAAAGGCATAACCAACGTGATTTTTTAAAAAGGCAACAGGAGAACTCACCTTGCTGTCTTGCATGTCCTTGTTGGCCCCGTTCTTTAGCAGAGCAATTGTAGCCTCTACATTATTGACAGCTGCTGCCCAGTGCAGGGCTGATTTTCCTGATAGGAGTGATATCAAGACAATAAATGTATTTGTCACTTGCTAATGATTCTTAGATTCTTCTAAAATCTAATACCACCTTTCCTAAATTTTAAGGAATTATCTTCCTTCAACCATGCCAGATTGTCATCGTCCATTGTCCATTAACACTTTGTATAAATTTAAGTATTTGTATAAATACTTTGTATAAATTTGTATAAATTTAAGTATTTTTGGAAAAAATTTGAGCTTTGTATAAATTTAAGTATTTTTGGAAAAATTCTTCCAGCAAATCAGCTGGTCTGTAGCCAAGAAAATGCTTAAATAAAAACATGAAGAACTATGGACTATTTGCTGCCGGGGGGGGGGGGGGGGGANGGGGGGGGGGGGGGGGGGGGGAGAGAAATTAACAAATTAATTTATAAAAGACTGGAAGGATGCATCTACTGGCAGAATCTTTTGTTCATAATGTTTTCCAGTTTACCCCTATGTATCAAGCCCTCTCCCTAATTAATTACAAGTCATCTTCATAACCAAAATCTTTTACTTTTCATCACATATTCTAGTCTCACTCTCTGTCAGCTATCTGCATAGCTTCTGCAGCAGTACGTTTCATCAACATGTGTTAAAAAAAAAGCTAAGGAAGGGAGTGTAGCCAGGTTAGAAAGTAAGTGTGTGAGAAAAATTTTTTTTGCATATGAGCATCTTTACTAAATCAATCTGGGCAACCTTGTAAATGAGTTATGAAGAGGTTACCTAAGAATCTAAACTGGAATGTAGTGGAAATCAGTAGAACATAGTCAAGTTAAGAAACCTGGTCCCAGACCCAGACAAGCTGAGGACGAAGCCAATTGATTTTGCAAATTACATACCCAATTCGTCCACGGCATTGACGTCAGCATGACAGGCGATCAATTCTTCCACCATGCCTTCAACAGCTAACCTTGCTGCCAGGATCAGTGCAGTTGAACCATCTCCCATTCGAGCATCTAAATCTGTAGATCGATTCCGGATCAGGATCTAACAAGAGTGTTAGGTGGAAGAAGAGCAAACTCTGTCATTCGATGTAGTAAAGTAATACTGTCTACAATATTTAAGTCAGCTGCTATTTGGTTTTTAGGAATGCCAGGGATGACTTTTTGGAGTATCTCAAAGGTAACAGATTGATAGCACATGAACTAGATTGTAACATTCACAGTTGAATTCACATTAAAAAAAAGAGAGAGACACTGTGCTTTTGCACTCTTAATATGAGCTAATGGAGGATAACAGAAAAACTGTATTTCTAGAAGCAGAAAGGATCCATTGGATCGTTCATGGAGTGGGTGTATCTTCAGGACAAGACTCACCTGGAAGACTCCTTGGGCATCAGCAGTCACAGCAGCGTGAAGTGGGGTACGTCCTGTGTTATCTTGCGCATTGGTATCGGCACCGGCATCCAGCAAGCGTTTGGCAGCATCAGCCCGGGCGTACCTTGCAGCCAAATGTAGTGCAGTCTCCCCTGTGCGGTCTGTTTGGGCACTCAAGTTAGCCCCCTGGCAGATGAGGTCTGAGATAATGTTGGCCGAGGAGTCATCTGCTTCCTCTTCCTCAGCCAGATCAGTCTCCATGCCGCCACCACAAAAAGAGGCCAACATAAGTGGGGTAAAACCATCTGTATGGACAACACAGTAAAAGATTACTTTAACATAGTTTGTTCTTTACTAAACTGATGTAATAATAATAATAATAATAATAATAATAATAATAATAATATATTAAACCTGTAAGCCAATCATCTCTCAATGATCCACAACACTCATACAAAAAAAATTATAATAAATCAATAAAATGTGGGTGGTTTTTTTTAAAAAAAACAAACAACAATATGTGCTAAAACGAGAAAAGGACATCAACTCCTGGACAGATCAAACGTTATCTATAAAGACTCCACCAGAGGGCTTTGTACAGTATCCATCTAACATGTTACCTGGCCCACGGACATTGACATCCATGCAGTCAGTGTCAAATTCACCCTGGGGTGGTGTCAGGGCCATAGATGGAGGCATACGAATATCTGCTGCCACCAAATGGTGCTGTGTCCATTGTCGGCAATCCACTGGGTCTTCACAGTCCAGGGCTGGCTCTTCCACCTGGCAATGAAGAACACAAGCCCGACCTTTATCACAGAAAGCCACACTTCCTATACAGGCTCTGAACTATATAGTATGTAGTGGGTACTTTTGGGGAAACACCAAACCAAGTTAGGCCACCAGTAGCTTGGCAGAAAACTGTGCGCATAACATTGCCCAGACTTGAAAACCAGAGAGGGGAAGAAAAGGAGAGGAGGCAATGTAATATTTTGGAATATGAGCTGAATACCTTTGCAGCTCCGGTTCTCAAGTCAGCCAAAGTCTCACAATGAGCAGGCAATACCTTAAGACGCTTGGCCTCTGGGCATTCGGCTTCCAGCCAGTCTTCTGAGCTGTCTGGTATCAGGCTCTCCCCTTTGCCAATATTCCTGAAAGAGGAAAACGTACGCAGTGAGTTGGGAGGCAATGAGAGCACAGGAGGCAGTGGAATCGTACCTCTGGCTATAGCAGTGATGGCAAACCTTTTAGAGACCGAGTGCCCAAACTGCAACCCAAAACCCACTTATGCATCATCGGGTGCCGGGTGGGTGTGGCCCATTGGGTAGGCGTGGCTGCGGTGATAACGGCAGACTGGGTGGGACTAAAAAGTTCAATCAATCAATTCCAACTTTGCAAGATCTTTCTTTTCCCCGCGAGAAGTTGAATTTGACTGATTGTTTGAACCTTTTTTTTTTTGTACACGGTGGCGGAGGCCTAAAGCCAAAAGGTTTTTTAAAACCCAGCTGAAGGCCTAGGACTGGGGCGACGGCGCGCGTGCCCACAGAGAGAGCTCTGAGTGCCACCTCTGGCACCCATGCCATAGGTTCGCCACCACTGGGCTATAGTCTAAACATCCACCTGCAGGCACATACATGGGCCCAGCTCCCTTTTTTGTCATCTTGTGTCCCGTGATTTTATCTGTTAATGTTAATATTTTTTATGATGGGAGGATTTTAAATGTTTTTCAATGTTTTTATGTTGTAAGCCGCCCACAAGGTCATTGGATCTGAAATGGGCAGCAAGTAAATTTAATTAATGAATGAATGAGAAAGGGCGAGCATCGAAGTAAAATGTAAGAAAGCCTGTCCTTTACAGCAGATGCAACCTACTACAGCTACAGACAATTCGTACAATAGCCACAACCAATGAGAGTTATCCCGTGCAGGCAAATATGCTGGCAGAAGAGGGATGGGATTCTTCTCCACTAGCCCCACTGGGTTTGTAGGCTTATTGTAGGAAAATAAAAGTAATCTCTTCCTTAATATTCTACATAGCAGGAAAAAGACAGCAGGTTTTGCCACGTTAAATCTTGTTAAGACATTAACGTGATTTGACCGTGAATGCCTCCGAGGGCTTTTTTTTCTCTTTTCTTTAACAAGTCTCTGATAGAAAGATAGGAGATCGTTCCTCGATAGCTCTTGAATGAATAAAGGCCTCTTACTTCATGCCCAGGGCATCCTGACCCACAGGCTCACGCCGGTTCTTGTTGCTACTCTCTTTCTTCAGACTGAAACCTTCAGGGAACCAGAGGGTGCTGTGTTCTCTTTTACGCCGGGCCACCAGCACACCCAGTACCAGGATCACGAGGAGAATGAGGGCTGCCACCACCACCAGTGGCAATAACTTGAATGGGTCTGGGTAGGAATCATCTTTTACACCTGAAGAAGCAATGTATCCGTGTTATAAACTCGATTGCAAGCAGAACGACCGAGCAATATTGCTTTTGCGAAGTGCCTTTTCCAGACCCCTGGAGAAAAATCTAACCTTTCACGGCTTTGAGTGGATATGGAAACTCTAGACGCTCTACTGCCGACAGGGCAGCAAGGTAATCCGCAGCGCTTACGGCATCAGGGAAGCATTTGTTTGAAGCTTGGTAGCAAAGACGGTTGTCAATCTCCAGGGTAACCTCAGACCTAGAGAAAGTGGCCAAGGGTTAGCGGGGTCTCCTTGAGCATCACAGAGAATTCTAAGGAAAGGCAAGTCGGTTACCTCTGCACTTTAGTTTTGTTCTTTGTTTGGTCTTTTTAAGTACACGGAATGGCCTGACTTGACACGTGTGGTTTTAGAACAGCCATTCCCAAATGTGCATTATGGATGAACTTGCTTTTAAGGTGTAATTAATCGTTTTAAAAATGCAAGTATATCGTAAGTTCCACTTCTTTTTACAAAAGGCATGCCATACCATTTTAAAACAGCAAATTTATCCCATCGGTGCATCTCTCTGTATTATTGTCTGTTTAATTATCATTAACAGCCTCCTGGGAATCTAGCACTCT